GGTCTACCATTTATATTGATCTCGTCAGCCCTAAAAGATAATAATGAATGTTAGATGAAATGTACGTTGGTGCTCGGCAAGTATGGACGGGTGCTAGTCATGGCCCTCCAGTTTGGGTCGTGACAGGCAACAAGGCCATACAAGTATCCGTATACATGACCTCTGCCTACAAGCCTCTAAGAGTACATACTTATCATAAAGGTCGGGACAGGGCCCCGACATTCTAAACAATACACGTCTAAATCATACTGACCAACCAAGCAACTTCGGAGCAAATGGAGCGCACCAACATCTTCCGCTGAGTTGATAGCCTACTTGGAAGACTCTCGACCTATCTATCGGGACCTGCATGCGTGAAACTCAGCGTCCCCAAGCAAAAGAGACATTAGTACAAATAATGTACCGAGTATGTAAGGAATAAAAATCAGTAAATGATAGACATGAGAGAAACATGGAGTAAAAGACCCAACATCTAAGTCTGAATAACTTTGTGAACCATGAAATACTTATAGTGTCATGCATATGTGTATGAATGTCATGTCGTGCATAGGTACATGTGTTCATAACATCATCAAGCCTCTAAGGGCATCCCATCATATCATCTCGGCTACTGTGGGCAAAATTATCAACGTATACCAGCAGATCATGTGGTGGTGTGTATATAAAGCCGTAACATTTTTCCATATCCCATATACATATAATATATATATATATATATACGCGTATATAAATCCATCTTGTCATGGGTTAATGTACATGTATAAATAAATGCAATGCATGAGAAGTACGTCAATAAAATCTTTCGGAGTGTCATAAGACCATTATGCCTTTGATTAATATCATGAAATAAACTTTATCAACTTACGTATTTTCTGAGACCCATGAACAGATAATAGAATAATATGATACATGGGGAATCAAGAACATAAGCATCTCTAGTATTTCTATGGATAGAGTCATTTATGAAAATTGTGCATTTGCTCATTTCGTTTGTGCCATATAGATCATGCCAAAAGAAAGACGGAATAAGCTTAACATACCTGAGCCGATTCTCTTGACAATCCTTCTAACACACGCCAATCGCGACGAAACACATAACAGCGAGATCAAAATAAGGAATAATCTGTATGATATTCTTGAGGAAGATTACACCGTACTCCCTTCGAATCGCAAATCCCATGTTGCTATAATATTAAGCAATCTCGTTTGAATGAAATGGTGAAGCAACTCACGTTGCTAATGTAATTTTTATCTTTGCTGAAGCCCTTTACCTTAACTTAGATGTAAAGTGTCTTCATTTGTGAATTAGAAAAGGATTTTAAGTCTTGGTGGTGTGGTCCCCACTTGTAAGACTTGGTGTCACATAATCCTCTTAAATGTGGCACCTTTCAACCTAATATAAGAGTCACTTGATTGATACAATTACTGTCACGTTAGAGGGTCTTTGAATTTATCCAAGATTATTATTAATTTCTTAATTAATTTATGAATCCCCCATTGATCAATAATTACCCAATTATTCACATAATTAATAATTATCAAATTACTTAAAATACTACTCAGTTTTTTAATACACTTTGTACACCTTACTATTATGTCCATGTGGTACCTTGTATGGTACTAGTCCATAAATATCGGGTATTATAGTTCGGACCGTATTTTTATCCCAAAATGTCAAACTTCGACGAAACTCATTTTCTTCGATTTGCTTACCCTCTCACCTTCACGAATTTACTCATCACTTATTTGAGATAGCATAATGCTTATAATCTCAAAATAATCTCATTTCTGAACTTATGTCGATTAACTTACGATAAAACTTTAACATACGAAAATGCGGGATGTAACATCCCATTTCCGAGCTTTCATCAATTTACTTATGGCGTACTTTTACATACGAAAATATGGGGTGTAACAGGGTTTTGGAAAGTAGGCTTTGATTTGGGTCTCTATACTAGACCCTTGAAGTGTCAAGGCTGGGGAATAGGTGGCGTGCTGTGGAGACGGGATAGAGGGATTAATGGCAATGGGGGTTACGTGTTGTGTTTGTGGAGTAGTGGGAGTGGCGGTTATGTCAGACGAGAGGGGTTTTACATGGTTTGGGTTGCTGGTGTGTGTATGGTTTGGACCAAAATAATTATTTGTGGAGCTAGGATTGGGCTGGCCCAAAGGTATAGTCGTTTCCATCTAGATGTTAGAGGAGTCGATGTTATTTAGTAAATCAAACATATTGTTATGTGTAATATTATTAGGGATGGGGTTGTCATTTCCACTTACCAAAGCCGTTTGAATGGAAGGTGGTTTAGGGTTAGGTAACTTATCTGAGGCTTGTTTGTGCATCGATCTTCGTGGTGGCGGCATACGTGCATAATTTGACGGTTCACCATTGAGAACCTGTCTGTGCATGGGTAGTTTAGAGGTCAATTTTTGTGGAAAGGTAATTGTTTTCCACTCATGGTCTTTAGTTGGTGGGGATTGTGTTGTAGTGGAATGGACTTGTTAGTTGTTGAGTGATGGATTTATGGGTGCTTTATCTGAAACTGGATGGTGAAGAAGATAGGTGCATTGTTTATTGTTGTGAGCCAAGCGACCACAATTAACACAAAATAAATTAAGGCCTTCGTACAAGATAATTTGTTTATGAGTTCCAATATAAATATGAGATTTTAGTGGCTTATCAAAAGGCACTTCTACACAGATTCTTGCATAACGCCCTCTAGTAGTAGTAGAGGTGCATGCATCAATCTTAAGGAGCTTACCTATCTTGTTGCCCAATTTTTGAAGGATTTCTAAGTCGTAGAATTTTGTGAGTAGTTCAGGCAGACGAATCCAAATTGCAAAGTAAGTGAATTGTGTCGTAGAAGCAAGAAATTTTGGTTCCCATCTTCAAACAGATAAGAAGTGATTTAAAACAAACCACGACCCATCATGTAGAGTATGTAACATATTTTCTTCCTTATGGAACTTGAGTAGAAAAAAGTCAGATCCCAAATCAATTAAGGGAACCTCTTCTGTTGGTTTTTATTGTGCAAATATTTTTTGCTTGAGTAGTTGGTGTCCTACTTTGAGCCCAAACACTAGTAGAGTCGTGTGTTTTATCACTTGAAGACAGTGGAACGAAATTGTCCAGGTCAGAGTTAGTGTCACTTTCATCACTGATATCGATAGTAGTTGTAGCATAATGAGATTGGTGGAGGGCATGAAGAACATGCGATGTGGAGAGTAATTTATGTAGGAAAGAGTTAGTTTGGGAACTTGTAAAGGAGTCATCAAATTGCATAGTACTAATATCAGGCGGTTCATTGATTGGTAGATTGGGTGAGATTCGTTTACTTTCGATGTTATTATTCATTGGAGGCACCAATGGGGAGAAGGTGGATTATTGGAGGTAAAGAGAAGAGAGAGCATTTTTTTGGTTCCTTCCCATATTTGGTTTGTACATCTTTTTTTTGGTTGAAAAAAACTATATTATGTCCAAATTCCTACGGAAAAGAAAAATCCTAAAACTTGAACAATGCAGGTACATTAAGATATGGATTCTGTAAGCGAAAGATGAAACATATATAGAATTATGAAATCAATTGTGCGAAATTTGTTACACTATTGTGCTTATAAAGACTATTATTGCTACTAAGGGGTTCATGGTTGGTTTGGGTTAATTTTTGGTGAGAATCATTTACATCCCCAAGTTTACTCTAAAAATCAAACTCATCCTTCAACTTTGAACAATTGTTATTTCCATCCTTTTATCCTATGCAATGTCTATTTTGCCCTTGATATTTTCAACTCCCCATATATGTAATACTTTTTTATATTATTTAAATAATTTTTAATGCAGATATTTATTCATAAGTAAAAAATATTATATCTTATTAAATAATTTAATTTAAGTTCACTACCATTATAAAATAAAATAATTATATTATGAATTTGTTACAAAATGTATTGCTACTTTATTATTATTATTATTATTATTAAAATTCATATGATGTATGTCAGTGTGTGTGTGATTTTAAGTTCCACTATATTTGTTTTTCTCTATGTGTGTATAAATTTTTGAGTTTTGATTGTTGTTGCTAGATTTAAAAAAAAAAAATTATAATTAAAGTTCATGTAAACTGTAAATAGATATGTTTTGATAAATTTATTACAAATTTACCTCTATTCGCCCATTTTTTTTATTACCTGCATTGTATAATTTACAAACTTTTCACTCTATTTATTTTCAATTTATAAATAGATTGAATTTTGACTGATATTAATTAAATTACTGATATGAGTAAATTATTTATTAAAATTATTTATTTTTACCATTTATTTCACTGTTGAATATCATTAACTTATATGCTTGACTATTATCATTCTTTTTTGTTTCGATTATTTTTTTAATTTATCTATAGGTAAGTTGATAACATAAATTAAAATAAAAAATATCATTATATTAAAGAACAAAAATATGCGATAAAAATTATAAAGCGTAAAATAAGCATTTTAAGAAGTGACATTTGATATGAGGAGTAGAATGATAATTGTTCAAAGTTGAAGGATGAGTTTGATTTTTAAAAGCAAACTTGAGGGATATAAATAATTTTCATCCGCCAAACCAATTATTTTCAGCTTTTTCGTTAGTTTTTTTTTTAATTTTTCAATTTAGTCAATTTTTCTCCAGTAACTCTATGAATTACAAATTCAATCCATTCAATATTGAAAAATTGGACAAATTAATAATCTATTGCACTGTGCTTATGTGAGAATTTATTTTCGAAGTACATGGTAATTATTCCCTCTGATTAAATTTTTTAAAATCAAACAAAACTAATGAACATGTCAGAATTTCAGGTTAGTTTATTTGGCTTTTTTATTTGGCAATTTTCGGTTTTTCTTGAACACCCTACCTGCTATTGCTGAACGCACACCCACGCTCTACCCCCCACCACCTCTCCTCCCCTTCCCTCTCCTCCCTTACACTTACTCCCTATGCTCTTGTTGTTCATGTTGTCCAAGATTTGCGCAATTTCATCGACTAATTGAGCGTATGTTATGTCATTTCTTTTCTGTGTGTTAGCTTAACACAATGATTTGACTACCCATTCTTTGATTTTTCAAAATTAGGGTTCTAATTTTGCGTAATCATTTTCGACTTGTCAGCTTTCTTTGAACTCCTATACTCTTTTCTCTTAATTTCCTCCATTTTAACGTTATTTACAACTATTCCTGAAAAGTTCATCTCTTTTTGCAGCGGAGTCGTTGATTTGTCTAACAACTCAGGCAAAAATAATTTAGCTTTTTTACTGCTGGGCGTTTGGTCAATGTTTGAATTTTTGAGGCAAAGGGAAGAAGAATCCAGTTTAACATTCTTGACTATCTAAACTCTGGAGCTGGAACTGAGGTATTTTCTTTTTATTCCATAATTAGCGGCTCCAAATTAAATAAAATATGGTTGCTTACGCTCCACAATGGGGAAAAAAGGGAATATACTGTCTGAAATAGAGCAGAACATGGATTTGTTATAGCGTGTGACTGTGTGTTTGGTATGACAGATGTCATTTTTCAGGGAAATGTTCCACCACAAAGTCATTTTCTGTTGTTTGGTTGCCGGAATTTTTTTTCTTCAGAGGGAGAAAATGACTTCCCTCACTTATGGGTGGAAGTGTTTTCATTACAACTGTCATTTTAACCGGAAAAACTCCCCCGAAAAAGGAGTGATTATTTTAAGAGTTATCTAAAAATATCAAGGTGCAGGATGCACACATGACATTTATTAATTTTAATTGTATCAATCCAAGGTTCGGTTACGAGCACATGGACTAACAACAGCTATCTTAAAACTTGAACTTCATATTACTTGATCCAACTAACACTTATTATTAATCCTCAAAAACTCAAAAATTTAATCAAAACACTCTTCTAATATTTTTATTAATCTTTAATAGATATTTTTCCTAGAAAATATTTTCCACTCACCAACAACATTTTCCTTGAAAAATGACTTTCGCGTACCAAACACAAACATAATCCATAAGGCTTTGAACTTGGTGGAGTTAATACGATAATTTTAACTGCAAATTGATTTAGCATGCACTTTCAGTTGGTCATGTTGTGATTGTAGTAGTGGAACAAAGAGAATAGTGGATAAGATAATAGTTTCCTTTCCTACGTTCTCTCCCCTACGCTGTTTAGGGAAGTTATTTACATACATGCATGGTTCAGTTGAGTTAAAAACGAAACTTTTTTGTATTTCCTTTCTCTCTTTCTTTCTTTTTTTTTTTTTTTTAATTTTTCAGGAACACGTCCAGTCTGAGGGAACTTCCATGTAATGAATAGCTTGTTTCATGCATGCTCGATTACAATCGTAACAAGAACTACACATCTTGCCTTGAAGAGTTCAATTTGTGGAATTCCGGTGCAAGCTTTTGCTCATGCTTGAATTAGAAGTTGATTTTGACTTTTGCTGAATACGAGTTAGCATCTAACAAGTGTAGTGGAGATAGTTCTCTTTCAGAAAGTTTGATCCTACTCCAATAATGAAGGAAGATAATGGCTTCTTTGTTGTTAAGAAAGGAGATCTTGTTGGAGTCTACAGAAACTTGAGTGACTGCCAGACTCAAGTTGGATCCTCGGTAACTGTTTTGGAGGAATTTTAATCTGCAGTTATATGTATATGTGTGTGTATGTATGTTTGTATGTATGTGTGTTTGTGTATATTTATTCCTTTTACCTATCAAACAAATTATAGATGTATGTAAGTATATTGATATGGCGCCACTGTGACCCTTTCCCCTTTTTTGCCTTGATGGCTTGAACTCCCAATCTGTTGGTTGGAAGTGGAGTGCTCTTGCAACTGGATCAACTTCACTTATCAATTTGTAGTCAAGATGTATTGATGCCAATGCTACACGGAATTTACCTTATCTGTTCTTTTCCTCGTGAATATGTTCAGAGGTTGTTGCACCTTGAGAACATCATAAAAGATTGACCATGTTTGTTTGCTACAGCTTCATTTACATTGTTTGACATAAAGCTGGAGCATAATTTCTGTGCATATTTCAACATTTCTTTTAATGCTTTCTTTTTATGATTAATATTATTTATCACAAAAATTAAAAGTATTTGTTTTAGCTTCAGCTTGGTTTTCCCAAATTAATGATACAGTTATAGTAGTATAGGAATTTCTATCAATGTTTATATACCAATGTGCATGAGTTGGCAAATATATCTTGCAGTGT